CATGCTTAGTCAGGGCAGCACAGGCTGCTACCATGGTTTTCTTCAAACCTACACAATAGGTAACTACAGAGATAGTTTGCTTCAGAGCACCTTAAACATCAAAATCTATGTATTTATATGAAAAAGTCAATGTTTCAGTGACAAATACCAAGACAAAACAAAGTTTACCAAGGAACATCAAAACTTTCCCTTCCAACAGTAAGAAAAGAACCTTATAAATCTATCCTCTGTATCACATACAGATGAGCTTCTCACTGCTACCCACATGAGTTGCCATCCATTCTTACAAAGATCTTTGTTTCATTAAATGATGACATGTTCTTTTGTGACTTCTACTTCTTTGTGTCTGTCCTGTCATCTAGAGTCTTGTAGCATGATTCTGTGTTTCTAACACAAGAGTGCTTCAGATGTTTAATAGTAACTAACACATTCCCTTGGCATACCTTTTCCAGGCCCTGGTCTCTACCCACCACTGAGTGATGGGGTCTGCACTCTTCTAACCAAGCAGATTTACTTCAAGTCCTCAAGACAGAGTTCCTTTTGGCTATGCCTGCTCAAGTTATGGTAGTTGGAGCAGATGCTATCCTCAGATGCCAAAATTGGGCAGTAGGATTGGCAGAGCAGTGATGGGGGATTTTGAATGAGAACAGGGGAAAGCTCAGGAAGGTAGCTGCCAGCTTCAGAAGAACTAGAAGAAAGCTTGGGCTGTCAATTTGATCATGGGGACTAATAAGGGCAAGAATGAACACTGTCTCTAAGTGGTCAGGATACCAGTGTGGATATGAGCACAGAAAACTGGGAACAGGCGAGCACTCATTTACTGAAGATGGTGTCAAATGCGGACTTAGTCACAGGGAACAGGGCAATGCTGAGATGCCTGAACAGAGAAGAGACAAGATCCCAGGTGGGCAACCAGCAAAGGTAACCTGTTGCTGTGTCACTGGCCTCTCTGTTGCCTTGGATTCCATTTGTCTAGGAATGGCATTATATCTAATTGTGAGTGAAAACCAAGTCTGATATTAGTACTTAAAAGACTGAAATGATTGGAGAGCTATTAGTATAAGCCAGGCAGATTTTTACATGTTATTTCTTTGTGCCTTCAATCAGTCTTTGGTGGCTTTGATTCTTCTCAGCTTTGGGTCATTAGTAAATCAACTGTTCGGCTTCTATGTTCTCAAACCAGAGACCTTAGGGATTTTATTCCTGCAGTTCATGTGGACTGTGAGACAAGACTTGAGAGAACATCTGTTAATCAACAGCATCTACCTCATAGTATCACATCAAGAACATGTCTCCACCCCTTAACTGCAAAAATATCATGAAAAAATCAACAAGTAGTTTGCAGAAAACAATTATGTGAGGTTCCAGGTCTGCTCCTCATTCTGCAACCTACTAAGCTCACCCAAAGGAAAATGCGTTTAGTCTGATATGACTTGCTCTTAGTGAGCCAGTTGGTTCTCTACTAAATTCACTAAATATTCTTTATCTGATGACTGTCACTCAAAGAGAGTAGAGTGGGAGAGTGACAGTGGACTCTGAGGCTCTAAGGGTCACTGCATCGGTGAACTGTTTTCCCACCTCCTTATGTCTCATTGGACCTATTCATTCTTCCTAGGTTGTAATTAAAGTTGTCTACAAGTTTCTGTTTTCTAGTCTCCAAGCTACAATTTCCAAAATCATAACAGAAAAGCATGGCTGAGCTAAGTAATAGTTCTCTTTGGATATCAATTTATTTGGATTTAGGAAATGCATCCCATAATATTAAGGTGGGTACATTATTAAAGGGGCCAGGATAATGGAGCTCTGAGGAAATAAAAAATTCAGTTAGAATTAATAAATCCTAATGCTCAATAGCAGAGTAGGATGACATAGTTAACAACAATGTATCAATGTATTATATATTTCAAAATAGCTGGGTGAGAAGATTTGAAATATTCCCAACATATAGAAATGGTTAATATTCTAGATGTTGGATACCCCAAACATCCTGAATTATTACACATTTTATACATGTAACAAAATATCATGTGTATTTCATAAATACATGCAAATATTATATATCTATGAAAAATTTTTTAAAAATTAGCAAGTTCATATTATATGCTCAACATTGTTTTGGGGATATAACTACATTTGACAAAAATAGTCCTTATCTAAAAATTGATATGAGGTGTATGTTATACATTCTTTCCATGTTTCGTGTCATTTACCACTTATGATGCTCTATTTGGCTGTTAGCTTCAATTTAATCTTCATCTTCATCTCTGCTTTTCTTCCTAATCCCATTTCCTTCTAATCTAATAGAATGCTGTCTCTCTATAAATTCTTCACTGACCCCTTATATTCAGAACTGGCAAGTTTGCAATTATTTCAGGATAGCATTTGTATATGTTCTGACAGCTGTGGGTTTCACAGATAGACGTTTGTCTGTTTCTGTGATAAAACAATTTCTTTTGTTAGGTATGCTTTACAAACTAATTGCTTTTTTTTTTTTTTTGAGGTGGAGTCTCACTCTGTTGCCCAGGCTGGAGTGCAGTGGCACCTTGTCAGCTCACTACAACATTTGCCTCCTGGGTTCAAGCAATTCTCCTGCCTCAGCCTCCAAAGTAACTGGGATTACAGGCACCCACCACCACACTCGGCTAATTTTTATATTTTTTAGTAGAGATGGCGTTTCACCATGTTGGCCAGGCTGGTCGCAAACTCCTGACATCAGGTGATGCGCCCGCCTCAGCCTCTCAAAGTGTTGGGATTACAGGCGTGAGCCATCACGCCCAGCTGCCTTACAATCTAATTTTATGGGATGGAGGTAGAATATGGCCATGAACAGGAATATAGAGCAATGTAAAGTAAATTCTGACAGACATGTAAGTTTGTACCTTAACAAAAATCCTAATACGTGGATCAAAAATTGTGTTAGTGTGTCCTATTTTCCCATTAGTTTCTGTGGGTATTCTTTTTATACTATTT